AGGGGCGGGGAGGCTGTTCCCGTGCAGCGCTTCAAGAGCTGACCTGCGTCTGACCTCAAAGTGCACAAGCTTCAAACACCAGCGTTGGCTGCGATTTTGACGCTGAAATCGCGTGCGGTGTGAAAGCAGCATATGAGGTAGGGAATGGAAAAATGTCAGACAATGCGGACAAGTTGCCTCCACTCTCTTATAACAACATAGTTAACACAAAGAGTGCATACACAATGAAGGAGCTTCACTGCCTGAAATCCATGGATGATCAGTGTTTTAACGATTTTGTAAAGGACAGCTGAACTCTTCACGTGAATAACAAGGTTCTCATGACTGGAAAATAATTAATTACAATAGCATACTCATACATGTCCCTCATAGATTGCAGATTGAAGCTTCTTTAGCTTAGCTAATTTGACTAGTCAGTGCTACAGTAAACGTGACTGATATTTTTTCTCATTATTACGATATGTTTTCACTGTGACATCCTTTGATACTAGTTATAAAATAATACATTCTTTGTAAATATATATTACGGTCCTCCTAACAAAATGAGCCTAGCCACAGCTCTGATTGGGATGTTGTTGTGAGGTGACAGTGTTAACCAATAAGCCATCAATGCCAGTAAAAACATTATCAACATTAATGACTAGGACTTTTTTGATTGGTTTCTGAAGCGTCAACAAATTCTTAAAATTACAATATACCATACTGTAGGAGTCTGCTCAGGCGTAGCGAGTGTTTATGGTGTGGAGGTTTAGCATAGCATWGCTAGGCTAACCACGAAAGATGTAGTAAATCATGAACAAAATAGTTTCAGCACACATTTTTCTTTACCAGAATAAATGTGATCGGAGCAGATTCTTCACRTTTCAATTTCTGATCTTGCAATTGATGTGTCCAAACCAGACCCAGCTTTCAACTCCTCCGTTTGAGATCCTTCGTATTTTTGGGATGTTGTGAAAACTACCGAAAATTACCGAGCCATCTGCACTTTTGGAATATCTGTTCACCCGGCATGAAATAAACATTGCCAGTTTTGCTACAAAGAAATTAAAAATAAATTATTAAAACTAAAAATACTCCTTGTAAAAAGCATTCAGCTGTGTCTAATGCGAGTTCTGCACTTTGGCCGTAATTGCCTAGAAATGTTGTGTCACATTAGAACCCTGTTCTACGAAAACCAAGAGCATCCATTTTCTGCATATAATTATTTTCCATGTCGTTGTTAGAAAATCACGAGAAACCATGAAAAAAAATGTATTTATTGAAAACGGCCGCTCTCAGCTTCCGTACTATTCTGCAGAATTAGTAAAAAATAATATTTTTAAATGGTTCTTTCATTTGAGAAATGCAGTGCTTAGCGAAATTATTCACCCCCTTGAATTTTTTGTGTTTTCATTGCTGTCATAAATAAATTGTGGTCAATAAAAATTGGCTTTGAAGGTATACATTAGACAGCTGCTTTTCACTTTCTTTATTTGTTTAATCTTCATAAAATTTAATTTAGGGAGAACCCTTGTTTTCAATGGTGACAAGGTGCATACAATACAATAAAATAATGTACAAGCACAACGCATTAAAACACAAAATATACAGTTCAAAACAGAGCACAATTACAAACTGAACTCTGTGTCCTCCACCTCTAGATAGTCTTTCTCATTTGATGGCTTTCTCCATCTCAAACCTTTTTTTTTGTCCAAAACATGAAGTGTGATCTTCAGATTCCTTAAGGAAAAGACAAGAATGGCAAAAACAATAGCAAGAACTAAATTATTTTAGTGAACTAAACAAAGTGAAACTTCTTTCTGTCACATTAAACTACAAGACCACAAAAGTGCAGGACAGTGTTGATGGGAAGTCGCATCAGTCCAAAAACATGGTCACATGGACACTTTTCAGACAGAGCCAATCAGAAAGGATGACATGACGTAACAAAAACAGAAGTTTATAAATGGCCCATTTAATGAATAGATAAACTTAAAATGCACCAAATAATTTTAAAAAAGAACTTTATCTCATTTTTTTACTTAATTGACCTTCATATTTATTTGTCCAGCTTAGTTTCAACATATATATTTTGAATTTATAGTTTAAAAAACATATGAATTCATGAATTTTTTAATTTAATTTTGTTTGTTTTTATTTTTTCCACAAGTCCTTTTATTTCTATGTGTTGTTTTTATATTTTTCTGTCTCCTGTTTTTACTTTATTTTGTACATTTCTGCCTCATTGCGCACATAAGGTGGGCTGGCTTTCTTGGGTCAGCTTCTCTACAACTGGCCAACAGACAGGAAGGTGCAGGATCCATGTGCAGAAGGATTGTGCATCTCTGCACTGCTGACCTTTTCTGAAGAACACATCTTATTTGACAGAAATATATTTACAGCTACTCTGAGACAGACCATCTTTCTATTCCCTTCATAACTACACTTCACTTGCTAAACTGATGCATTTTAAGTGTATTTATTTATTTATTGGGCCATTTACATATTTGTGCTTTTATTTTTAATTATGTCAGTTTCAGTCCTCCATATACTGGGAGGGTTTTCTACACATTGTCGAATCATAACAAGCTAAAATCATCACACTCAAGTCTAAAGTCCAATGTTTTTAAATGCATACATGACGTTTTTTGTTATTTTTCTGTAACATTTGTGTTTAGTATTGTTGATGACCAATAAACTAATAAAAACCTTCATGGTCTTAGATTAATTGTAAGAACTGCTCTTTTTGAGGGAATGTTATTGCTCATCTGCTTTGTTTGTGTAACAGAATTAATTAGTGGTTGAGAAACTAGTATCTGCAACAGACGCACAATGTTTTCTGTCATTAGCTCTGTTTGCTTGAGCCTAAGTAATCAGAATAAAATGCCAATTGGGAAAATAAATTGTCATGTAAATGCCCCAGTCAGAAAATTCTGATCTATTTCAGCTTGATTAGAATGAATTTGTAATCAGAATGAGAGGGGTGGTTTATGACAACTAATAATCGAACAGCATGCATGTAAACACTTACTCTGATCATGTTATTCTGGTTGTAGAAAACTGACCTGACCTCACGTGTGCACCCCATGTCAACCTGACGTATTTCTGCCTGGCTATGCTGTCGGAGAAGAAAATTTGGTCTGTTAGCAGTACAATATTTCTATTAGAAAAACTGAAAGAGTTTAAAATTATTGAACGCCTTGATTGTCAAAAATGTAGGAACAAAGAGTTTTGTCAGCATTTGCTTATTTTAACATTTGTTTATGTTCATTGCGGAAGTAGAACTTCTGTTTTTTTAATGGAGGGTTTACAACTCTGTGCATGTCACTTCAAAGCTGAAGAAAAGCCTGATGCATGTAAATGCTTGTCATGATAGGATTAAATAATTTTGTGCCCATATAAACAATATATTTGGATTATTTAATCCGAATATATTCCAGTCCGATCAAAGAATGGTGCTCATGTAAACATAGCTAGTGTTACTCATGATGTTTGTGTCACACTTGGGGTCATAGGTCAGGTTAAAGTTTAGCTTAAACTATGAAGCCAGTTTTGAAAGTTTGTATTGAGGCTGCCCAAATAAAAACACAATTGGGACAATTTTTTTAAATGACCATTTTGGGGCTCCTTATATACAGCAGGTAAAATAAGAATTGAACACGTCACCATTTTTCTCAGTAAATATATTACTAGAGGTGCTAATGACATGAAATTTTCACCAGATGTCGGTAACAACCCAAGTGATCCATACATACAAAGAAATCAAACCATAAATGTGTAATAAACAGTGAAGTTTGGAGGTGGGAACATCATGGTGTGGGGC